ATATAATGTACTTAATGCAAAATAACAAATTACCGAAATTACAAAATATCGAAAGTGCAAACTAGTACCTACATCAAAGAATACCATTCTGTGCCTACATAACAAAATTTCGTTTGTTGTCAACAACAATCATTAAACAAAATTTCTGTTTGTTTGATTTGTCTGACTGACATTTGGAAATAATCAAAAAGTGGGTGTGTTGTGCACAAAGAGGTTAAAAATGGAAAAAGACTGCGATTTTGAATACTTAGAGAGCAATAAAGGCGGAAAAATATTATATTCCAATGGATATTACTATACCAAAGAAAAATCTGTGAGTACAAAAATATATTGGAAATGCCAGAATTGGACTAGCTTTTGCAGAGGCAGAGGTACACTAGTTTCAAACACCTTTTCACGGACCGCTGATCACAATCACGAAGGAAATCCTGTTAAAGTTGAGGTCAAGAAAAAAATGAGTCAAATAAAGGAAAAAGCACTAGCCAGCAATGATGCTCCTCAAGTTATTGTCTCAAGTGTAATGTCAGATGTAAGTGGCGAGGCTAGTACTTCGTGTCCGTCGATAAGTAGTATCAGGAGAACTATCAGTCACATTCGAAAAAAAAAGTATTCCCACTACTCAATCCCAAAGGATCTGGAAGATTTAGTTATCCCCCAAAAATACCGAAAAACTGGGAAAAACGAGGAATTTATATTATATGACAGTAATGACAAACAGAGAGTAATTATTATGGGAACAAAACAAAATCTAAATTTTTTAGAACGAAGTACTAAATGGTATATTGACGGAACTTTTAAAACTGTGCCTGAATTATTCCACCAATTGCTGACGATACATGGCGATATAGAAGGTATTGTTTATCCTTTAATATACTGTTTATTACCCAATAAAATGGAGAGAACATATATTAAAATATTTGAAAAAGTTCGAGAATTTATTAAAAATCCAAAAGTATCCCTTATTCTAATGGATTTTGAAATAGCCTTAATAAATGCTACGAATTTGCTTTTCCCAATAGCTGATAAACAGGGATGCTATTTTCATTTTCGGCAGGCACTTTACCGACGTATTTGTTCTTCGGGTTTAAAAAGAAAATACGATACAGATAAAGATTTCAACAAACAAATTAAATTTCTAATCTCGCTTGCCTTTGTTCCTGAAGATTTAGTACTAACTGCATTTAATGTAATAGAAAAATCCGGAATCCTGACGGATCATACTCAACAATTCTGTAGCTACTTTAAAAAGAACTGGATGGGAATTCAAGATGATAATAAAAAGAAACATGCATCGTTTTCGTTTCACTTATGGAACTATTTTAATCGTACCCTAAACGAAGAGCCAAGAACTAATAATTTTAGCGAGTCCTGGCACAGTGCTTTAAAAAAACAAGTTCAATCTAAACATCCGTCTATTTGGAAATTTTTCGAGTTTATGTTAGATCAACAAAGTATGCAAGAACTTCAAATTAACCAACAGTTAACTGGCTGCGAAAAATCACTCAAGAAGAAAAATATAACGACAAAAATAAAAGACTTGCTACTGTGGTTCAATCATTTGCTCGAGATAAATGTACAGATACATACTTGTTAGATTATTTGAAAGCTATTACCCTTACTCTGTAACGACATTAATTGAATAATTTGTTATTTGATATTTAAGCACTTTTTTTCATCTCGATGTTATCTAGTGTAGTGTACTCCATCTTTTTGGTATTTATGTACTGATATTTTTTGTTTCCGATGTTCATGTTGTATCGTGGTTGTTGTTGACAATAAACGAAATTTTGTAATTTCGACGTTTTGTACTTTCGACATTTTGTTGTTTCGATAATTAGTTATGCTGCATTTCGTATTTTCGATATTATAGAGTGTCGATATTATGTGTTATCCTTTAAATGTAGTTTCGATATTATGTATTTTCGAGATTTGGTGATTTCGATATTTTGTAATATCGATGTTTTGTAGTTTTTTCAACATTATGTACTTTCGATATTTTGTTCATCGATATTTTGTAATTCGATATATTTTCCCCCAACCATTTCATATATACAGTTAGTACTATTTTTTAGTTAAAAAATTTTTTCGAAATTCGTGTGTCCGTTATGTTTACAGGCACCAATGGCAAGAATTTACTGACTGGAAATCGAAATAGATATAGTGGACTCTACAAACTAAATTTAAAATCTGCAAAAACAGCAATTGAAGTAAACCATTTATCAAAGTCAGACTTATTACAACTCTACCATGAGCGAATGGGGCATCAGAATAAGAGGCACGTAAAACGTATAATAGAAAAGGAACTAGGTATAAAATTAGATCTCAATTCAGAAATGTGTGAAGGTTGTATCTATGGGAAAGCACATCGTCTAAAATTTGGAACAAGAGAGAGAGCAACGCGCTGCGGAAAGCTAATTCATACAGATGTATGTGGTCCATTTTTACACTCCATTTCTAAATTTCGTTAATTTGTTTTGTTTAAGGATGATTATTCACGCTATCGATATGTGTATTTTTTGAAAGAAAAGTCAGAAGTACACTTAAAACTAAAGCAAATGTTGGCCGAGAGTAAAGCTGCAGGACATATTATAAAATAAATTTTGGGTGATAATGGAGGTGAGTTTGATAATGAAAATGTACATAAGATTTTAGAAGAATGTGGAATTAAACAGCGTCTAACCATGCCTTACACACAAGAACAAAATGGTGTTAGTGAGCGTGAAAATAGGACAATTGTAGAAGCTGCACGTGCTGTAATGCATGCACATGATGAAATACCTCAGGGTTTATGGGCTGAAATTATTAATGCAGTAGTCTACATTTTAAATCGTACAGGACCTACATCCTTAAAAAAATCTCCATATGAGTTATGGCACAGTAGAAAGCCAGAAATCAAGCAACTAAGAATTCTCGGAAGCCAATGTTACGTCCATATACCTAAGAAGACAAGACGCAAAATGGATAAAAAAGCTCAACAAGGGATACTTATTGGCTACGATGAATGTGGTTACCGCATTTGGAATAAAGAGAAACATAAACTAATTAGATCACGAGATGTTATCTTTAAGGAAATGCCACTAATAAGTAAAACGTATGATATACCAGAAATAGCTAATAAGTCCTTTTTTTGAAGAAGATTATCAGTCAATTGAATCAGGGGGAAAGGAAGAAGCAGAAGCCATTAATGAAGACGATAATGTCGAGATTGAAGAAAATGATCAGAATCAGAATGAAGACCATGAAATTGAAGAACACCTCGAACAAGAAAAAAAAATGAGCGAACTTTAAGAGACCGTTCATTAATTCGCCCTCTTGAAAGATTTAACGACTTGATCATGGCAGCCGTAGGGGAGATAGAAAGAAATGACCATGAACCATCATGTTCTAAAAAAGCCATTACATGTCATCAAAAAGATAAGTGGTTAGAAGCTATGCAGCGTGAAATGATATCACTACAGGATAATAATACTTGGGAGATAGTAGACTTACCGAAAAATAGGAAAGCGCTTCCATGTATGTGGGTCTATAAAGTAAAGATAAATTTAGATGGTACCATAGAACGCTACAAAGCTAGACTGGTAATTATAAAACTTTTAGTCCAGTAGCTAAAATGAGCACAATTATAACTCTGTTAAGTGTAGCAGCCAATGAAAGTATGGTTCTTACTCAATTTGATGTCTCAACAGCATTTTTAAATGGTTCTCTAGTGAAGAAATAGTTTTGAGACAACCTGAGGGTTTTAGTGATGGGACAGAGAAGGTCTGCAAGTTAAAGAAAAGACTTTACGGACTTAAACAGGCCCAAAGGTGTTGGAATGAATGTGTTCATAAATTTCTGGTGAGTGTCGGCTTTATACAGAGCCAAGCTGATCCATGTCTATATATAAGAAGTAAAGATAAGAGGAAGCTCATACTTGCTTTGTATGTAGATGTTGGGCTGAATTCTTTTTCTGACAAAACTGATGCTCAACTATTTCTTGAAGAGCTGAGAGAAAAGTTCAAAATTACAACAAAGCCAGCTTCGTATTTTTTAGGTTTGGAATTGAATTTCAGAGAAGATGAATCCATTGAAATCAATCAGACAGCCTATACGAAAAAAGTTTTAGAAAGATTTGATATGACCAACTGCAAATCTGTAAAAACTCCAATTCTAAAAGATTCAACGAGTCCCTGCAATAAAGAAACCAACGAAAATTTTCCATATAGACAAGCTGTTGGTGCACTAGCATATCTAATGGTCGGCACTAGGCCAGATATATCATATGCCGTTGGAGTAGCATCGAGAAATTTAGACAATCCAACCAGAGAAGATATTGTCAAAGTAAAACGTATTTTACGATATCTAAAAGGAACAGTCAATTTTGGAATTATCTATAAAAAAGGCGGAAATAAAATTTTGGAGTGTTACAGCGATGCTGATCACGGAGGTGATATGCAAACAGGACGTTCTACTACTGGAGTGTTATGTATGTATGTATGTATGCAGGAGGAGCAATTGCATGGAAGAGTCAAAAACAGAGTTCTGTTGCAATTTCCACCACCGAAGCAGAAATAGTTGCAGCTAGTGAAACCGCTCGTGAAACTATTTGGCTAATAAGAATTTTAAAGGAAATTACCGATGTACTGGAGATACCAAAATTATATATTGATAATGAGTCTGCCATCAAATTAGCTCACAACCCTCCATACGAATACCATAATGGAACTAAGCATATTAGAGTAAGACACTTCTTTGTTCGTGAATTGGTAACCGATGGAAGTCTAGAAGTTAAGAAAATAGCTTCAGAATTTCAGTTGGCTGACTTGCTAACAAAAGCCCTCTACAAACCAAGACTAACAGCTCTGTGTCAACAGATGGGGCTATCAATGTCACAATGACTTATAGTAATTCACAAGTTTGTAAAGAGAGAAGATCTTAAGGTGCAGAAAGAGCTTTACTTCACTGTGGTTACTTTGATTTTATTAAAAAACAAGATATAGATAGATATATTGTCACTGTCACTAGATTTTTATATTTTGTCATTATTAAAAGTTGATCTACGTATTTTGTCTATTACTTTAACAACAATGACTAATTTTATGCAACTTATTTTAGAAAGTAACTTACACCAACATGTTAATCAACCAACGAGATTTCGAATAAATAGTGAACCATCTACCTTAGATCTCATCATCACCAACGATGAACAACTTATTTCAGAACTTAACTATCTCCCTCCGATTGGTATATCGGATCACATAGTTATATCAGCATCTGTACAAATAACCTTTAAGAACTCAAAAACAAATAGCTTCAACACTTATTAAATGACCAATTATGACTTTTCTAAACTCTCCGTAATAAACTGGCTGCCGCTTCTAAATCCTATAAAAGATGTTAATGGTATGTGGAATACATTTCACACAATAATATTTAGTACGATTGATAGATACACACTTAAAAAATGTTTTCGCTAAAATACTCTCAAGCCCTGGATCAACGCTGATATAATGTCCTTAATTCATCACAAAAACGTTTGTGGATAAAATATAGAAAATCAAATGTCCTAACTGACTATCAAGTACACAGTTTTGAGGTTGTTGAAGTGGACCACTCATTTTTCGAAACTGGAATGATCATCTAGAAAAAATATACATCAAGAAATCACCGTTTTCGTCACGTCCCTTAAAGGAGTTGGAAATAATGCCAGGTCCAGTATTCAAATTTTTTCTACATACAATGGCCTTTGGGAACGTGCAAAAATTCAGTAAATCAAAAAACCACCTGCGAAGAGGTCTACAAGACAACGAGTTCATTCTCCCTGGTCAGGCATATGGTGGTAACAGTCATAATAATCTTCAATATTTTATGTTATAAAATTTTTGAGTATAATGAGCCCCTTTTTGCCTAGTACGTGTTTACATCAACTACTAAAAATCTTGATTATTCAAAAAGAATCTATTCAAACCAAATCTAAATAGAAGGAGGTGCTCATTTATAGGTTGCGAGTATCTTAAAGCCTGTAATCACGTTTAAAGTCTGATTTCCTAAATAACTCGGAAAGCCAAAATTGTTAATGAGCCCCTTTTTCCCCAGTACCTACTCTTCATTTCTATTTATTTTTTCATTTATTTTAGAAATTTTCTTACTTTTTGTCTTTCATTTAATGCCCAAAATTTACAGTTTATTGCTAATATAGATCTGGACAGCGATTAATAATAATGTACTTAATTAAAAACAATATTAATCAGAAATTAGACCTATTGCGAAAAGTATGTTATGACGTAAAAAACCATACTATTTAAGAAATATCCTATTTGACTCTTTTTTTATTATACATTTTCTGTACTTTAAATATGTTGATAAATATATTTGAACCTGGATTATGTTTTAATCCCGAAGCCACCCACCGTATCAATAAGGAAATGAATAATTCAAAATGTTCTCATGAAATTTATGTCTTTTCAAGTTTTCCTGTACATTTATATTAAATCAGGGATGCGCACTTTGCGACGGCGTCGGCGCCGCCGTCTATTGTAGACGTCGGACGCTGGACGCTCAGACAAAATTAGTCATCCGCCGGCCTTTATGAAGCAAACATATTTCTGATCTAAACTGAACCGATTTAACTGTAAGTTTTTCAATTTGATTAAACCTAATTCCAATTATTTGCGGTTTTTAATTAAATTGCGTAGATATTGAATTTTGCACGAATGATTACTAACTTCCGCTTCCGAAATGAAAATTTGTTTATTGATCATGACGATCGTTCAATCAGGTTCGATCGTAAAAAGTTTACACGTCAAAGGTTTGTCTTGAAAGAAATTCAACAAAAATCCAAATTTTTTTCCTCTACCTAAAAATAAATGGCAAAAACAAAAGCAGTGTTGAGTTTCGGTAAAGCTATTTATATCTTGAAGCATATTTAGGGATTTAAAATAATTATTTCAAACATTCACTGCACTGCTGGTCTTGGTTAAACTTATTTTCAGAATATTTCTAGCTGGATGCTAGTTTCATTATGGCTGTTATCTAAACGTTACTGGGTTAGATTAAATTATAATGAAAATAGTATTTATTGCATCTTTAACTATGTTTAATAGCAATGAGTATAATTTACCTACATACAGGGTGTACCAATCTTGTGGAAAAGTTTGATATGTTCTTGTTGTAAGAGATATTAAAAAAATGTATAAACAAAATTTATACGGTAGCTTTAAAGCTTTAAATTACATAAAGATATACAGGGTGTTGCATGACTACGAACCAAACATGTTTTTATTTTAAACCAGAAAACCACTTTATTCTTTTAGATTTAGATTACTCTCATTTTTTCCATATGTCTAATATATTATTTGTGTAGTTTATATAGGGTATTTTAAAAGAAATTGGCATTTTTATATGGAAATCGTAAGTAAATGCACGTCCTGTAGCCAAAATTACATGCACTCAAATACCGATACTTGGGACATTTAAAAACTTTAGCAGTGTGTAACATTTTAGCGAGTATGAATAGAAATGTGGCATTTATACTAAAAGTTAGGCCTTAGTTTATAGTATACGATAAAGTAAGAATTTTTTTTATACAGAATCTATTTTTACTTCCATCTATAAAAGGGAAGTATTGTAATCGTGGAAAAGTCACCCTTCAATCTTTATTCCGTCGGTCTGTCTGTCGTCTGTCTGTCTGTTGGCGCGATAGCTCAAAAACGGCTTATAGAAAAAAAAAATTTGTGTGCAGATAAGGTTCCTTACTGGCTTAAACCCAGTTATATACAGGATGAGCAGTTTTTAAAATAAAAATTATCTTTAAAAGTAAGCAGATTTCAAATAAAATTGGTATCTGGGAATTTTAGAAGTCAAAGATTACATATCCATAATAAGTTTTTAAAAATTAAAACTGGCGCTGAAAAGAATCGTATTTAATCAAGAAAGGTCCCACTTAAATGGAAATAATAAAAAACATCCTTTTATTTTGTGTAACTGGCACATTTTAAAAGCAGCCAATCATTATAATTCAATAACGGTGATCGTGGCGAAGAATATCGAGTGGACGCGAAGTGAGAATTTGGGTGGGATCAAGAGGAAGATCGATGGAGAGAGAAATGTGCAAAAGGGTTTTTGGTTTGGTGACTTTAATTTTAAATTATTACAATTCAAGTGCTAAGGAGTTCCCTGCTTTTATAATTTCTATTTCGAGGGAAGTTCTGGGTAAAATACTTTACAGATTTGTTTTTTGTTCCTCGTCTCAAATTAGGAATACGGGCCTTAAGGGGGGGGGGGAGGATAAGGTTAATTCGTGCAAAAAAGGCAAATTTTTGGTGAATTTTTTTGACGACACAGTTAAAATCTGTTTATTTTAACTAATGGTACATTAAAGTATAACATTCAAAGAATACTTTGTCAAAATTTTCGTCTAGAAATATTAAAAAATACGAAAATGGCAGCAATTAATCGGAAGCGTCTCGGAAAAAAGTAGAATTGCGAGTGCCCTTACTAATTCGGTGCTGGATCATCAGAAATAAAAAAATAAAAATTCTTTCGTTAGATAATAGTTTTCTCCAGGTAACGCTGGAAGGGTTTTTTAAAATTTAAATTTTTCACTTTTTGGGAATACTTTGAAATAAAAAAACGCGATTCTTGGGAAAAAATAGGCTAATTTGTCATTATAAAATAAAAAGATATTAACAAATTTAAAAAAAAAAAACTCTACAGCGTCACCTCGTTAATTATGTACAAAAATAGTGTTCAAAATTTTAAAAGGAAAGGTGCAGTAGTTTTGAAGTTATATGGAAACGTGAGTTGTGAGAAAAAACGAAAAAAAAAGTTTTGAACACTAAAAAATTTAGAATAAAACGTTTATAAGCGTTTTATCGGCTTATCTCACACTGAATCATCGATGCCAGACACGTAAAGGATGTTGCTATCATCCATGATGTCTAAAGCCACTTTTTTATGCTCCTGCCTACGACGAATCCCCATTCATGAGCCTTGATCTACTACTGATTCCCATATCTTGCATAGATGTTAGTAAAGCAAAAGAACCTGCCAGGCCAATGCTACACTAAATTATATACAGTACAGGTATAGACACGTTTGTACTTGTTTTAAAATTTCTATAAAGAAAGGTAGGAGCTAAGGTTAGGGGGATTATATAGAGAGCGAAACAGCTGCCAGGTAACAATAGCGCGCTCGGGCAGGTGTTTTCTGATGCGCTGAGTCATGTATGAGGCGCAAAAAATGTCAAGTAAAACGAACAGTTTATTTTTAAAAAATGTTTTATTTGATAAATTACAGTTAACCCCGACAATATTAAAATGTTACGATGTGAATACTTTGAATATTAATTACTGACTGACTGCAAGACTATTGTAAAAGCAAGAGTAAAATTAAATTGAGATATTGAGTTTCATCTTGTCAGCATATTCCAATTGACTTCTGTAGTAGAGGGTGATATAATTCGCGGTTACTCAAACCGCTGTATCTTTGCTAATTTTGCTCCGATTCATCTCAAATTTTCATACAATATTCTTAAAAGGTTCTCCATTTACAAAATCAAATATAAAAAAATGCCTTGCTCGCTTGTCTCGCTCGGCTCATAATCTCAGATTAGTTCGATAAAGAATCACTTTGCTGACTTGGTACATAAATAACTATTAAGCTATGTAATAACTTTTCTTAAATTATCGTAATCGGTGTAAGGATCCCTTCCATCCTGTCGGGTAGAGTTGTGGACTGTATTTAAATAATGAATCTTGTAGAAAGTATTGCTACTTGATTAAAAGGTATTGTGGAACGAATAAATTAAAGGACTGGCTCCTAATAACTGGTTTTATTTAATCTTCTTAAACTGTGTATTCAATAACTATATAATAAACAGCTGAGTGATCAAAATATTTTTTTTATAAAAAACTAAACACAAAACATGCCGATTTAAAAAAATATTTTATGAATATTACATTTATATTAATGTTAAAAGTGCGACTGTTTCGCGTGGAGGTTCAAATGGTTCTTAATTTAAAAAATGGCTTGTAATGTAGAATTTAAAAGTCTGTCTTGTGATTGGTAAAAAGAAATGGTGTGGTTTATACCAAGTTCGCTGTAGAGAAAGATAGATTAATGTGTTACAAATTGTTAAGCATTTATTTAACAATTTATTTTAAATCGTTTAACTTTGATGAGTATGCACTCTTAATCAAATTAATTTGCATTCGTACATCATATTAAACAATTATTAAAGTACTTATTAAAGTACTTTTAAAACTAGATTCTTCATCTATCATTTGGCAACAACAGCTTCAAAATGTATTCAGACACCATTAAAAAGATTCAAAATAAGTTTCTACGCCGCCTGTATTATAAAAAGTATTTTTAATGACCAGACTGTAATTAAATAAGAACTCAAACATTAAGACAGACAATAATTTGGAATTCATTGTTTGATCGTCAGACGTAAACAAGCAATGAATGAATAAATAATTATTATTGGCTTATTTTGAGCATTTATTATTGGTTTAAAATATCAAGCACAAAAAAACTATTTTAAGTACCCTAAGAGATTTCTTCAATTATTAAATTTTATTTTTTTATTTTGTCTTAAAATTAATATTAAACCTTATTTTAGATTTTCGATGAATATTCTTGGCCTACTTTGGTAAATGATTTATGTAGGGATTCAAAGATTATTTTATCTTGAATTAAGGATTATTCCGTTTACTAAACAACATTGGGAAATATTTCGTGTGGGATTTTGTCACACTAAAAGTGTCACTGAAATATTTGCTAGACTCATTCCGAAGGCATTTGGGACTCACTTTAAAAATATATTGCATAAAATTGTATTTAGTCGATTGTAAATAGTACAGTGAAGCTCAAAAATTAATATTGTTATATTTGAATTGGTAATGTTACTTCTCGGATAAGAAGAAAAGAGGCATTCGCTCTACATGCATAAGTATAGAATAACTATTTAATTTATAACTATTTAAGAAGAATTAAAGGAGCTGAAATGGGATTAGAAATTGTGTGTGCCAACGAGCGTCAGAATCTAATTGACTTCAAATCTACCAATTTGGATATTAAAGCCATGTGCTTTGATAGCTTAGTTGGTAAGAGTATTGTTGATCAACATTTAAAATGGGTACGAAATATCGGACATTCTAACGAGAAAAATTTAATGATTTTGTACACGCTCTTGCTGAATCTATAATTAAATACTGCATCCAGTATAGGGTGTAGTATTCAAATCAATTCTATCATCATTACACATTTCACAAAATATTCTTCTTAAAATAATTTTTAGAAAGAGTAATTATCATTCCACAAACCTTTTATATCAAGAAACTAAATTACTAAATATTCACTTGTTTACAACTGCCTAACTAGGGTGTTCAATGATTCATTAAAGTTCACTACCCTAAATCATCAGAAAGATACCCGGTCAAAGACTAACTTTGATATTAAAACTGAACTTTTTCATAAAACTGCTACTGAACATTCCTTTATGTACTAAATTATTTAACAAGTTTCCAAAAAGCCTAAAACTAACAACAAAATATATTTTTTTTAAAACTGAGGTGAAAACGTTTGTACAAAAAAATGGAGACATATTTAACATCCCTTAACCATCTT